TAATATAAATTTAAATTATCAAATTAAAAATATAAATTTAATATGACGTTAAAAATTTTTTAGGAATCCTGTTTTTTTGAATTTGAATCGAATCGAATCACTCTCAAATTCGATTCGATTCGATTCGTTCGGAGCCTTACAATTCTTGAAGCATATCGTAGGAATCTGGGTCATTTACCTGCTTTTTAAGATTAGTTAGGAAAATGTAATTGATAAAATTTCAAACGAATCTAAATTGATTTAATTATTTTATGTAATTGTTGAGATGTATAATTTTTTGTCTCTGCTGTTTTTTTTTATTGCACACTATATGGAAGTTTGCCTAAACTACTAAATTTCGGCAATAGTTTTGGCAAATTAAAAAATTTAGTTTCAGCTTTCATGCAGGTAAAATGCCGAAACTAAATCTATATTACCTAATACTAATACTAATTGGTAATAATTTCATTGATATTTTGATTTTATCACGAGGAAAATTTTTTGTTACATGTAAATTTATAAATGCGCGCATTCAAACAATAAAAAATCTTTTTCCTTTCTTTATTTAGAGATAAAGATATTATCCTGTCCTTAAACTTAATCAAGATTGCTGAAAAGAAATTATTTTTATGTTATAAAAAATTTTTGGGGAGAATCATTTGCAAATTACAAAATTGAAAATGAAGGCGTGAGAAGTATCTTCCTAAATATATTATCAATAAAGCTAAGCAAATGTGTTCTTGGGTAATTCCTAATCTATTCATTGTTTGCTTTGTGGGAATAATAAGAGTGCTTACATAGCTAATGAAGATTATCAGATTTGGAAATCATAAACTTAGATTAAGAAGATAATGATCCAGAATATGGTATGAAAATTAGTACATTTTCCAACAACACCAAAATCTCCCAAAGCAAACACCTTGTCTAACTTACCCTTTGTTGATACCAATGTAACCAAAGAATTATAACACCTTCTGCATAATAAAAATAATAATAAAATTTCTTGTGTTTCAACAATAATTAATTTGTTTCAAAATAAAATGTCTAATTATTATAAAATAGTTTCAACAAAAATCGAAGTTTTGGCTACAAATTATAGCTTTGACACAGTGATTGAGTTTCGGCAGAGTAACTGAGTTTCAAATTATTAGTTTCTGCATCATCACAATTTAGTTTAGGCAAACTTTTATAGCACACCATATATAAGGCCATTTGGATTATTTTTGATAGGACGCAAAAGATTTAAATGTCAAAAGTGACGAAATGACGAAACAACAAAAGTGACGAAATCAACAAACAATGAAATAAAACAATTATTTTGTAGATATTAAATTATGGAGTAAATTTATAAAAATAAAATTCATAATGTCAAATTCTAATTCACCCAATTCACCAATCCTTTCTCAATCATCATTAAAATTAGATAATATACCTGAAAGTTCATTTAACAATAATCAATAATTAGCTGCAAGACGTCCTATGTTTGATGTATGGTTACACTCCATTAAAATAGTAAATGAAGAATCATTTCAACAATCAGAATTATCAGATGATTCT